TCCAAGGGGTTAAGAGAATGGCGCGTCACAAACACTAGCGAAGTCCAAATTGAGATCAATGAAAAACGAAATAAAGACGTTCAGTCCTGCTCACTGATGTAATTATACAAAGTCAGATCTGATGGGTTTCACATATGCAGTCCATTTACTCCAGATTGAATAAAATTTATCTATTTGCACTTTGAGTGAGTAGGACAGTTTTTCCATTAAGAATATATCATGTACTGTGTCAATCCAATCATCAATGGTTGGTGGCTCAGTTTTAAACCATTTTTTAGTTATTGCTTTTTTGCTAGCCACTAGTAACATACAAAGTAATTTTTTATCGTGTGCATCCCARTGGTTCAGAGTCAAGTCTCCTAGATATAAGGTCTCCCACTTAAAAGGAATGTTTGAGACAAATACATTATTAATATGTTTGTGAAGTTTAATCCAAAAGTCCTGAATAACTCGACACTTCCAAAAAAATATGGTAGTGATTGGCCTTAGCCGTACCACAGAGTCTCCAACAATCTTTTCCTGCACCCTGATATTGTTTTTGTGCTGGTGTCATAAAAAATCTTATCACATTCTTCCATCCAAATTCTCGCCATATATTTGATCCAGTAGACAACCATTGTATTTGACAAATTTTTCCCCAATTTTCCTCAGGTATTTTCACGTTTACTTCTTTTTCCCACTTCTTCTTAATGTAATCTGTTTTCTTGTTTACATAGCTGTATACCATTGTAGTCTTGTTATTATTTTAGTGCATGGTTTTCCTTCAAACATTGTTAGAAACACTTTTACAAATTCAGAACCATTACTAACATAAAATTCTTTCAGATTCTGATTATAGTATTGTCTGATTTGCAGGTATCTATAAAAGTCTTCCTTTTCTAAATTATATTTATTTCTCAARGATTCAAAGCTCTGAAATACTCCCTTGTGGGTAAATGAGAAATAGGTGGATAACTCCTTTGAAACCATTTTTTTAAAACCTACATCATTTTTATTGTGTACAAAATCTGAGTCCACGCAACCCTGAAAAGGAAGAAGCGTGTACAGAAAATGGATGGATGGATGGAAAATCTGAGTCAAAAGSACAGCATCTCAAAATTTTTGTAGCCTCACCTAGTTTGCATATTCTAATTGCATCTTGCCATGACTTTTGTAGTACATCTAGCATTGGGTAATCTGAGATGGTCAGTTGTGATTGTAATTTTTTATCTGAAAGTATGGCTATTACTGGAATGTCTTTTATACTTATGCCTTCCATATCTTTCCATCCTGCTGAATAGCTTGGTGAACATAGGCATGCTAGTGGTCTAAGCTGAGCTGCTACGTAGGTAATAATCCCGAATGCAGGGGAGGCCCATTCCTCCCTTTTCCTTACTTAGCTGCAGAGTTTTGTACCTAACTCTGGGTTTTTTAGTCTATCCCAATCTGAAAAATTTTTCTGAGGTACTTCTACTGGAAGACATTGGAAAAAATATAATAAACATGGGAGAATGTTCATTTTAATGGACATAATTCTGGAACTAAGGGATAAAAAAGGTATGACACTCCATCTCTGTAATGTCTGCTGTTATTCTCGCATTAGGAGGACAGTAATTGTGATCAAATAATTTTACTAAATTCTTTGGTATGTTAATTTCAAGATATTTAATGTATTCTACATTAGGGTTGGGCAATATTGGCAAAAAAATAAATCACGATTAATTGTGGTATTTAGCCGATAACGATTAATTTGACGATTAATCCCCTGGAGTCCCTGGACACCCTTATTTCATAGTCACATGACCAATTTAGTGGGAAAGATTTGCTCTTCATAAAAATCTGTTCCAAATTGTGTCAAAATTACAGACTTCAGGCTACACATCAAATTTTAAATTGTGTTGATAGATAAATAAATTACAGAACTTTTTTTTAATGTTCGTCATATTTGAAGCAGAGAGGAGCAGCGAGCAGACTACCTGTTGGCATTAATCATATTAATCGTCAAGTGCCAAAAATTAATCGATTAATGTTTTTCTGACGATTAATCACACACGATATGATTATGCCCAACCCTATTCTACATCCCAATTCCATTTGTAGACTGTCCTGATCTGTGCTGGGGGATTATAGTTAATTGATAAGACCTAAGGTTTTTTTATATTGATTTTATAG